GTCATCTGTCATCTTCATCATTGTCATGCTTTGGTGCTTCTATAAGAAAAAACGTTCTGTGACGACCCCAACTGCTCTTTACACTCCAGCTCAAACTGTTTAAACACTGCAAACAAACCCATTGCACGGCTCCATCATCAACAATAATAAAAACAATAATAATAATGATAATAATAATAATTGACTGTTAAATAAACATTCAGTGTATTATTAGATATTCTCTTTAAATATATATATGTTTAAAATGATGATGGAGCCAGATGTAAAGATAAACGTTTTGTTTTAGTCCAGGAGCCCCAAACAGATCCAGCTGTTTAAAAAAAAAAAAACAAAAAAACCCCCTTTTTTTTTTTTGCTTTTTTTTTGCTTTTTAGCAATAAGTTCGTTGATTTCGTAGCTTCAGTCCGACCAGAGGTCAGGGCTACACAGGTACCCTCAGGTTAGACAGAGCTTCTAAACAGGGAACGATCACAGATGAATCTGAGCGAGCAGCCAGCTGTGACTTCACTTCCTGTCCATCAACGCAGCGTCGACATCCCCGTGTTAATCAGAGAGAAGCTGTTAACCCTGTAAAGCCTGGATCATGAAATAATTACTCCAAACAGTCACATTTTTTAATCTTTAATTAAACCTGACAGACTTGTTTTTATTTAATATCAGTTTGTTTATGACTTTTACTTTATAAGCAACTGCACAAAAATGTTACAAACGTATTGTTCGGTTTATCACGGTTACACAGGAAAAAAATCACGCTGATGAATGTAGAGGCCTCAAAGTCATGTTGCACGTGACACATTTGGCATTACAGGGTTAACCGCTTCTTCAGTTCCTCACAGGTCATCCAAACCCCACCCCCACCTCAATCACCCACCTGCTGCACCAGCAGGCGTTCCCGCCTTGAGCAGTTCTTATAGAAACGTAACAGAAACTGGCCATGAATTCATTTTAATGCCGTCAGGATAGAAATTAATTTCTCGTTTTTCTCACTGAAAATTTCTGTATATCCTGCCCGCACCAGTTTTACTGCCGATCCAAACACACACGACAGTGGACTCTTCCTTTGTTTATCCAGTGTTTGGGGTTAAAGGTGCCCTTCGGGTCCCGATAGTTTATGTTCACGTGTTAAAACGAGCCAGGAGATCCAGTCTGAGGTTCTGCACAGAGATGGGTTTTCTTAGTGAAACAGATCCTGGAGCAGCTTCAGGTCTGGCTCTTCAGGTTACAACGTAAAGCTGCATGTCTGTAAGCTCTGTAGCCCAGTGGGCCGTACGTGACGCGTTTACTCACTATGTGCAGCATCATGTTACTCGTGATGACTTCATTTATACTTGAATGTTCACGCTGTCAGTCCCACTGTGTCCAAACCATCACCAACATCCCAACTTCACAGTATAATTGTGCTGATGCACACCGCAGGTGCAGGTGCCCCGTGATTGTGTTCACAGCACAGCTCACACCTGATGATCCAGACTGACATCTCCTCATGAAGCTTCTAGTTCGGAGATGTCGTCTGAACGTTAAAAAAAAAAAGCTTCCAAAAAAGAAGCGGGTGTTACGACCGGCGTTTTTTCCGTCCTGTCTTACTCCTCCTGGTATATGGACCTCCGTGTGTTATTCACCTGACGTTCGTAACCACATTCAGTGCCCCGACACACCAAGCTGACCTCAAACGACCCTGAAACCCACGCTGCCCACATCAGAGAAAAAAGCTTCATGGAGAATCTGGCCTCTGCTTAAATCCCACATGAATGTCACAGGAGCTCTGCAATGTTCATGAAATCACTCTTTAGTTTCCTTTAAGATCCGATCCTCTGGACGTCCAGGTGGAACAGGGCTCGGCTTGGTGCATCGGGGCTTTTGGCTCCTGGAGCCAACAACAGGCTTCGAATGCCGAATCCTACTAAACGTTATAAACCCGACAGTCTGTTACATATCGCCGCGTAGGACGCAGAGCCATGGTTTATAAACGAGGAAACGCGATGAAGTAGATACTTCTATTTATTTTCTGAAGTATCACATAAAGTTTTCAAGTCAGCAGCAGAGACACAAGCTGTGTTTCAGCTGCTCTGACTGGTCTTCCGCTGTGGAAGTTGGGAGATTTTAATCATATATATTACTATAATATAATAAATATATATGTATATATATGCTGATGGTTTTCATGTTGCACACAAAGACATGCAGTTTGTCTGGTTTTCTGTGTCAGGGCTCCTGGACTTAGATTCTTATATTGTATAAACATTGATGTAAAAATCAGGCCAGCTGGTGTAAACATGGTTTGATTTCCTCTTTTAAATTTATCTGCTCTTTGCTTTTTCTGTGGTTTGGTGTCATAGGTCTATTATGTTGTCCCTTCTTTGACAGTAACCGCGAGAACCTGCAGGGTTTCTCTCGTTTAAAGCTGCAATGATTGCTTTAACCTCGAGGTGACGGTTGTTGTGATTTGGCGCTATATAAGTAGAATAGGATTAAATTTATCAGCCTCTGCGATGTGATTGGTGGATAAAGGTTTTTGTCTGGTCTGATGTTCATTTTCTCCCATGTTTAATAAAGAAAAGCATCAAAATTGGTCTTTAAATTTGAAGTCAGGCAGTGAATGTCTGCAGAACCGAAACTGCAAAAGAGGCTGAAAGGCTTGAGTGATTAGTGCAGCTTTAAAGACTGAAGAGAAACTCGTCTGCTTTTCGAAAATTGTTGTTGTTTTGTTTTTTTTTTTAATCAGGCTGTTTCTCTTATGCAGTGAATTATCACGTAAAGCTTAGAATCTAATCGTATTCTGATCATCTGAGCTACAAAAATGAATTTTTAATGAAAGATGATTGTATTGATCTGTAAATCGGTGAGGGGTTATTGATTATAGCTTCATGGTTATCTCTGTGCTTTAATAAACTCTTTGAAAATGATTCCCCGGTGTCTGTCTGATGTTTACATTCTTCTCTGTGATGAAAGCTTTAGTGTTTTATGAGTTTCCTCTTCACATGTGATCACGCTGAATATGAACAGGAAGTGATGACATCGGCATCACGATAGTCGAGTATGTGGCACGCACTTTAAATAATGAAAGTTAGAATAAAAAGGTCGAGTAAGGTCAGCAGTGAGAGGCTGGAGAGCCTGAGGAGCTGTACATGATTTAAAAATAAATCAATAACAATGCAGCTCAATATCAAGCAGGTAAAGTTTGGAGTCAAAAATAAAGAGCTGAGCTTCAGTCAGGTTTCTTTTTCTCTGTGCTGCAGCTGCTCTCACACAGACTGTTCAATAAAACAAGTGAACTGGATACATTTATAGCGACAGACACTGTCTGACACATCTGCCATTGACTGAACCACAACAAGAGCCAGTATCTGCTGCTCCTCCTAACTGTGTGTGTGTGTGTGTGTGTGTGTGTGTGTGTGTGTGTGTGTGTGTGTGATGCAGTGACAGGTGGAGTGCAGTGATTGGCCTCTGCCAGGCTCCTGTGTCTGGATTGGATCATTAGTTTGAGTCCTGGCTTCAGAGTTTTGGTGAGTTCTTGACAGTGACTCATACACACTTGTCACGCACTGAAAAACTGAGAAGCAGTTTCTAGGTTAGGAGCTATATATATATATATATATTATAACAGCAGTTCACTTGCATGGTCTTAAAACCTGATTTGGCCACTTCAAATATCTTTATCAAACAGCAATGTTATGTTTGTTGCGATTTCTGCTGCCCTGTTGGCTACATCCTTTATATGAAAAGACATAAAAACAAAAATTTAATTCAAAGGGTAAAAGTCACTTTTGCCAAAAACTGACAGGACAGGAATGTCCTTTCTGCCTCAAAGTGACTTTATATCCTTCATCACTCATATGTTTGGCAAAGCTTTGGCAGATTATATGCCAAAAAGTCATTTACAACACTTTTTGTCACAACACCAGCTCCCAGACACTGAGTGAATAAATTGAGTCACAGCGCCATCTACTGGATATACACTCTAAGCAAGGCTGAAATCACGGGGAAAGCTTTTGAATGAAATAAAGTTTCCATCAGGTACACTGTCAGGTTCTACAGTGGTTTCTCTGCAGGCATCAGGCAGGTGAGCATTTTCACCTGTTCTGTTTCAAATGTTGGATCATTGCAGATCCTTATAGTTTGTGTCATAATGTAAATGTTTAAAGAGCGCACAGATTCATATAAAGACCGAGGCAATGATGTGTAGAAGGAAACAAATGTGCTGAAAAATATAGTTTCTGCGAGGTGTGTGAGGTCAGTTTTGTGGGGCTCTGTGCAGATGCCTGCATGGTTGTAGGTCTGTTGTAACTGCGTGGTCTCGACTGCAGAGGCTGCGCTACAAGGCAGATGCCCTGCAGACGGGCTGCAACAGCTCTGCTCTGTGAGTGTTGGGGCAGCACATATCTTTCTACTTGTTCTACTTGTTTATTCAGTGAGCTAGTTTCAGTCATTGTGTAAATTGTGTCTCTTTTTAAAATGCCAGCCCCGCCCCCTGCTGCTCCACCTGTTCTTACAGCACTGCACCATCTGCATGTGTTTCCTGCACATGCATGAACCGATCAGATCCCTCAGCTGAAGTTTCTCACAGTGTGAATCTGCAAGTGTGTCTGCCTGCTGCTGCTGAGGATGATGATGCTGAAGATGATGATGGGATGAAGATGATGAAAATACTGATGATGAAAATAATGGTGATAAAGATGATGATGATGATGTGATGATGAGGAAGATGATAATATGATCATGTGATGAAGATTATGAAAATAATGATGATGACGAAGATCATGAAAATCATGTGATGATGATGAGATGATGATGTGATGAAGATGATGAGAATGAAGACAATGGTGATGAAGAGGATGAAGATGATGATGGTGCAGTAGTTCCAACAGGCTGCTGTCCTCGCGCTCCTTCAGCCTCCTCCGTTGTTATGAGTCATCGCGCGCAGCGTCTGCGGAGCGGCGCGCTGTGATTGGTTGAAGAGGAGCCGCCTGCGCGCGCACGGAGCCGCTCGTTGACCGTGGAAGAGCCGCTGCTGGCGCGTGAGGAGCAGCAGGAGTTGTGTGCAGCATGTCATCCTGCCGCCGTGCGTGAAACAGCTGCGCGCGGACAGATTCAGACTCTTCAGATCGTTTCACAGCAAACATCCGGTCTGCACGCGCCTCCTCCTCTCCCCAGCACAGGAGCCACTGCTGAGAACACACGGATTTTATCTGCACACCGAGACACCGAGAGAGCGTCCGATCCGCCCAGCAGAGGTGACACACACGGACACACACACACACACATACGGACACACACACACTGATCCAGAAACGTCGGTCACACCTGCACCGGTGCGACACCGGGGCTCGTGCATCTCTGCGATTTTCCTCCAGCCTCATCATCATCATCTTCACATCATCGTCGGTGATCGATGGCTTCGATCCTTCTCTAATCGATGGTTTGTATTTTTCGACGCTGAAGCTTGATGACGTCCATGTGGGATGATGGTGATGATGAAGTCAGAGGTGCAGCTGGTCTGCGGGGATTCAGGCTGCTCCGTGGCTTCTCCTCCCTGCGGAGGCCCTATTGGAGGGATGGCTGCTCATTCTGATTATCAAACAGCACCTTCATCAACTTCACCTTTCATTTAGCGATAATAAGCGTGCTGATGTTAACCTGGTGATGATCAGATAATCCTCTCTGGTATGATGCTTCTGATCAGGAGAGCAGCACGTGAGCTCAGACCTGCTGGGTGTGATTCTGTGGTCCCTGATTGGTCCCGTGCCTTCACACACGTTTTACATGATACTTCATGAAGTTTAAACCTCTTTTGTTCGTTATACTTTTCAATCATTTTTATCCAAAGAAGCGAAAACGCGACTATTTCCATTGGCCTCTGCAGCATCTGTGTTAGTCATTGTACCCCATACAACGAGGTGACTGTTGTTGTGATTTGGTGCTATAGAAATAAAATAAAATTGATTAATTTTCTTATCCAGCTGACGAGTCTGTCCCAGCTGTCATAGGGTGACAGGCAGGCACGCCTGCACAGGTATCACAAGGTTAACAGAGAGAGAGAGACAACCATTCACACCTACAGCCAGTATAAAATCACTATGGTGATTATTGATTCATTAAACCACCAATTGTTGCTTCTTTAATGTGTTTATGACTTTAATGTTGCACCTTTAATGTGTTAATTAATTTATATTTTAAATCTACAGAAGAAGAAGAAACAAAGTACAACATCCAAAATAATTAAAGTGGCTGAGATCAGAAATACTTCAAGGATAAGTACATTAAGTACATTAAGACTGTATTTAAGTAAAGTACTTGAGTAAATGTACTCAGTTACATTATCTACAGTATGCTCTCCACTAGTGGTTGTTTTGGGGGTAACAATCATATTGCATTATGACATGCGCTAATGGAAGTGGCACGGGATGGCTCGGGTTCAGCTTCACCTGATGGATATTACCAGCTCGGGCTGAACCCTCTGCACCTGCAGTTCTTCTCTTCACGCTACACACAGTGCTTCCTCATGTTGTGATGTAACTTCCAGACCTTTGACCTCTGAATGGACCAAGCTGTGATGTGTCCTCTCCTGATGGATCTGCTTGATGTTTGCACCCAGAACGTCCTTTTTTATTCAGCTCCTTCAACCACACCTACAAATCAAACACCTGGAATCATCTGCACAGCTTTGACGATTTATTTACGATTTACATTGCACCGCGTCATTCTGTGGAGGAGCAGGCAGATACTGGATGCCGTGCAGAAAACACCCACAGGCCGTAGAAAAGACTAACGCACCTTCAGGTGTGAAAAATGAAGCCGGTGTGGAAAATGCCTTAAAGCTGCCTTCTTTTTAATGGCCACCAGGGGGCGAGAGCTGTGGCTGCAAACAGACTTCGGTCCTGTAGAAGTCTATGAGATCTCTGACCTCTGTGTGTTTTATCTGCTCAGCCACTTGTTTTAGGTTGTACTGAATAAAACATGAAGTCAGTGTTGGTTATTCTACGTTTCCTTTGTCTGCACGTTATGGACTCACCAGTGAGGCAGTCGCTTGATGTTGTTGGTGGTGAAGTTGACTGGTTACACTAGGTTAAAACGACGCTCATGCCACCATGAAATCTGCTCCTGTAGTCCACGCGTGCACAACACTCTGCATCCCACCTCAGAAACACCACTGAAACCAGCAGTGCATCAGACCTGTACGAGGTTCAGGCACCATGAGAGTGAGTTTTAGGCGACCACAGACGTCTGCTGTTCAGGTGTTCTCTTCACTAAATGTTTAATCACCTTCAAAGGATTTTCTTTACCCTTTTTCTATACATTCATGGGTCTAAATAATCAAGAGAGTTTGGAATACTGAGTGACAACACTGTAAGCAGACAGATTCTTCCCATCCCAACTGATCCCATCAAAGTAAAAGAGCTTTTATACCACTGACATGCTCAGACTGTTACACAAGCAAATGTAAACTCTGCAATCTCAGGTGAGACTTAAAAGAAGCTCTCAGTCTGGATGAATATTCATGTTGCTGATTCTTGTGTTTTTGTCCTTTTCAAATCTTCAGATGGCAAAGGCAGACCAGCGTTTCGGCCAGCGGGATGGCTCTGACCAGAACTTCGACTACATGTTCAAGCTGCTGATCATCGGCAACAGCAGCGTGGGGAAGACGTCCTTCCTGTTCCGCTACGCCGACGACTCCTTCAGCAACTCCTTTGTCAGCACCGTGGGCATTGACTTCAAAGTGAAAACGGTGTATCGCAACGACAAGAGGATCAAGCTGCAGATCTGGGTGAGGACGGTTTGCTTGTCTGAGATGCCGGAGACGAACTGGCTTGTGGAAACAGATGCTGATGTCACAAATTATGCACATGGTGTCTTGTTGCATTGATGTCTTCAGTCTCTGCCTCTGTGATATTCTTTTTTTTTTTTTAGCTATAAAGTAAAAAATAATAGAAAGAAGTTGTAAGGCTGGTGGTTAGATGTTAAACCTGGTTCGCTTTGACGTCAAAGGACACCTGCATTGGTGTCAGGCCTCAGAACCAGCCCCTCTGTTAGGAAGAAGTGGTTTTGCAACCACAAAATGTTTCAGTCATAAAATTAATTATTGATCATCAGATTATCAGTTTAAACTCTGTGTTTGTGTGTCTGTTTTTTTGTGTGGCTCTTTTGTTAGTCAGGGAATGCGATGGTAGCGTCAATTAGCAGTGAGGAGTCAGCAGGAACTTCTCTTTGTTTATATTTTGTCTCATTTGCATCATCCTTACCTGGGCAGGTGGTAGGGTCCATGCAGGTAAGGCTGAGACGGTGAAAGGTGATGCAACATTACCTGGATTCTGTAACAGCCCTTTAAAAAGTTGGTACCAAACAATAACCTCTTTCCCTCATACAGACTCAGGGCTCAACACTGATGGTCATTCAGGGACGTAACACACAGCTGCTTCAGTATCTCAGGATGTTGTTTAAAAGGGATGATAAAAGCATGAGATGCACCAATGTGTCAGTCGGACCTCGGACTTAATGCAAGCTTCTTATCGGTGTGTCGTGGTGACGATGAATGCTGAAGCGGAGCTGGTTTACAGAAAAGTTTAAAGGGGGAATAATGATTTGATCCCAGTTGAAATGAAGAGTCTCTGTTTTTTATGGTGGTTTCATTTTAATGATGAGAGATGAATATCAACCAAAAAAAACCCAAAAAAAACACATTACATAAAAATTATAAACTGACTTGCATGTCTTGTTGCCTTGTTGGCGATCAGAGCAGTAAGATGTTTCTTGTTGTTGGTCATTAGGTTTGCTCACTTCTCAAGTTGCCAACTCAAAGCCTTAGTAGCTTCACAGGACTTGCTTCTTTTTTAGCCACTCCTTTGTTGCCTTGGCGATATGTTTTGAGTCATTCTCATGCTGGAAGTCCCATCCTTGACCCATCTTCAGTGATCAGGCTGAGGGAAGGAGGTTCTGGTTCTAGTTTGGCGTCATACATCGGCCCCCTCATCATGTACCCTCAGCAGAAAAACAGCCCAAAGCATAATGTTTCCACCTCTGTGCCTGACTGTGGGGATGCTATTCTTTGAGTCGTACTCAGCATTTCTCTTCCTCTAACCTCAGCAGGAGACCGATTTTGGTTTCATCTGACCACAGGTCTTTCTCCCAAGCCTTCTCTCATTGATTTAAGTGTTCACTGGTAAACTTAAGATGGGCCTGAACATGAGCCTCCTTGAAGATTCCAATCCATTACAGTGTAACACGATAACATTATGAAGCTCATCCCATGGAGTTCTGGGCTGATCCACTACTTTTCCTATGATTATCCTCATCGCATGAGGCAAGATCTCGCATGAAGCTCCAGACTTAGACTGATTGATGGTCACTGAGTTTTTGATTGATTGATTGATTGATTGATTGTAATCTGTTCGCCACATGGCAAACAGCCAGTCTGTAGGAGGTTCTGGCTGGTTCGCAGAGAGTACAGCAATGACTGTAGATCCCATTTTTTTGTTTGTTTGTTTTTTAAATCCTTAAACAAGAACAGACAAACTCTTCCCTGCCCTCATGTTTGGGGAGGAGCTTTCGGGCAGAACTGTGTGCCATTGAGAAGAAAGTCCAGATGCCTCCTGAGGACACACACTTACTACTTCTTTTTTTTTTATATCCACATGAAGAACTTTTCTTGTTTCCCTCAATGAACATACAGATGTATTTATAACGTTTATGTAATGTCAATTTCTGGATTTTCAAATAATATTCTGTCTCTGTCCATTAAAATGAAACTATCATAAAAAATAGAGACAGTTCATTTATTTGTAAGTGAGCAAACTTACACACTCCTACCCCACATATGACCAAGAGCTGTGGGCAGTGATGGCAGACTGAGTATACAGGCAGCAGAAATGAGCTTCCTCTGAAGGTTGTCTGAGCTCACCAAATACAAAGTTAACCTCAGGTTACCCGCTCAGATACAGTCGCTGGAAGAGTGACACATTTTCTCCAAGGTCTCTCCTTTTTTTAGATACATCTCTGTGCAAAAGTGAAGATGAACCATAGAGAAAGTCACAGTTTGTGAGCCAATCAGCCCCTCTTACAATGCTGAGCATCTCAGCTGACACAGCACCAAGTGAGCTGTTAACAAGGATGAAAGCTTTTCTAAGAGAGATCTTTCAGCTGAAAATGTTGTTGGGGAAATGGATGTCTGCTCACCTGCAGCCATTGGGGAAGTCTGGAGGTCGGGCCAGCTCCATGGACGCACCATGTTCCTCATCCTGTTCCTGGTGAGGTTTTGTGGTATGGCAGAACACGCTGTCCTGATGGGTCAGGAGGATGCTGACTGAGCGGACCCATTCTAAATACTGGAAATACTCCATGTGGTTTAGATGTTGAGCTGCAGAGCCAAAGTGCTTGAAGATGCACTTTTCACCAATCAGCAGAAATTCGGAAACACCTTAAAGCACTTGCCTGATCAAATCTTATGTGATTTAACTTCCTGTTCAAAGGGAGTTCTTTCTTCCTCCTGTTGCCACGTCCTGCTCACACAGGGGATCGTCTGATTGTTGGTGTTTTCTCTTTATCTTACACTATGAAGCATCATGGGACAATTGTTGCTCTGAATTGGTGCTGTCTGAATAAAACTGAATTGAACTGGAGCAGTTATTGTGAAGAATTACTGAAATTAACTTTTTTTTTTTTTTTAATTTTTGCTTTCATGTCCATAAATAAAAACTGCATGAATAGAATGATCTCACATTAAGTCAAGATCAGACCACATCTTTCATGCATACTACACCAAAACAATCAAAAACCTTCCACAAACTGACCACAGACATCATCTGATGTTCATTTGACAGCCCAACGCTGATCTAAGGTTTGATCGAATGTTTAGCCGCTGCAGATCGCACTGATGCTTCCTGCTCTGTTTTTTATTTGATTGGCTTGATTGATGTGGATTTAGCCTTTACTTGTTCCATTCGGGCAGTTTTTGTAAAATTGTCTGTTTATTCCTTTAAATTAAAGTTTAAAAAGCATCTTTTCCCTGCAGGTTAAACTTGTGCCTCCATCTTTGCTGATGCTGAATCTCTCAGAGGGTTCAGTGATGTGTCTCCTCGTCCTTTAATGTCTCTGCTCTCGCTGCTTTAATACACTGCGACGAAACGTTACAATTCTGTGACGTCAGCTGTAATGTTGAACGTGCTGTGACAGAGCGCACGTCTTCATAAAGCGCAGTAATGATCAGCTGCATGCGTTTAAAGTGGATCAGCAGACTGAGCTCTGCTTGCAGCAAAAACACACTCACAGCTCCTTTTATCAGTGGTGATGTTGTTGCCATGGCAGCGGCCCTTTACGCTCACACACACAGGCACACACACACACACACACTCCATTACTGTGTTGACTTTAGTGGCAATTAAAAGGAGCTCTCAGGGTGGAGAGGTTGAGACCTGGCGGGAGACAAAGGGCCCAGAAGGTGTTTGTGTGCATGCATGTGTGTGTGTGTGTGTGTGTATGTTGTTGACATAATTGGAGCCAATCAGAGCCAGCTGATTCAAACTGAAAGCATCGTTGTGAGTAAAAATAGACTGAAAACAAACTGTTGGATGGAGAGCTATGACCAAAGCATCATGGGAGGTGTAGTTTATGGCTGTTAACTTCAACATGTTAACACAGATTTTAGATCACTGGCTCTGCTTACAGACACATGTAGTCACTACGGGCGACACCTCTGGTTGTCAAAAGTGTGATTGGATAGAAGTTTAAGAGGAGATTGATCCTCCCGCTCAGCCGAGCTCAGTGCAAACCTCTGATGAGTTTATGGCCTCAGGTCTTATGGAATAAAACGTGATATTTATTTTGGACTTTTTGGCTCTGTTAGTGTCATACAGGAGTAGGAAGTAGGAGAGTGTTTCAGCTGTCTGCATATTTTTGAGGCTGATCATCCTCCATCGTAAACACACACACACACACTCCACAGTCTGAATTAATTAATCGTATACGAGCTCTCGCTGTGTCTCTCCGGATAAAGGCAGAATCAGGAAGTGTTGAGTCAGAGCTAAAATTAGCAGAGTGACTCGGGGCAGCTGTAGTGATACGGAGGATGAAGTGGTGGAGGACGGTGGCGTGAAAGTCACACTGTGGCCTGGCTGCTTGTTGCAGAGATCAATGGCCTGAGACTAGCTGAAAGAGTCTCTGGTGCTTTCTTAGATCATTTTTATTGATCGTCTTCAGTTTCCACAGTAATGATGTGTATTCAATCTGTCATATCACAAGTCAGAGTTATTAAAGCAGCACTGACACATATACATTAGCACAGGGAGGGATGCTGATGCCGTTAGCTGAATGACTGTTTTGCTTAAATATTAAAAACGAACTTTTTATTCATCACCCTTTACTCTTCAGAAGTTGTTCTTTCAAGCCTTTGAGCTTCTGCAGAAACCCAGCAGGTGTCTAAAGAAACACTTAAGCTGAATCAACACACTCATATTTTAGGTTCCAAACAAATTATCTATAATGAACCTGCTGTGTAGTTTATGTATTTGTGAGGATGTTTGTTTCAGGAGTTTTTCCCCGCTGTGTCTCAATCCAGCGTCTTCCTCTCTTTTTCTTCTCCTGCAGATTTACAGACATTTTTACAGCTTTATTTCTGGAGCTTCAGCACTGATGGCTTCATCATGGTAGATTCATAGAGTGGACCTTAAATATGGATGCAGCCACGAAGTCTGGAAGTTTTGGAGTTTACTTTCGGCCTTCACCGTGCTGTTTTTTTTTTTTTTTGATTGTTTCCAGATCATATTCAGACGAGAGGCTGGAATGCTAAGTTATCAGCTAACGCTCTTGTTATCAGTATGCATCTACAGACTGTATGGGTACATCACACAGACACAGATACCTAGAATTTCACTTCCTAGATGGTCTGTTAGTACAGTAACCTCACAGCAGTCATATTATTGGTCACATAATGTCATTAAAAAGGCTCTAACAGCACAAACAGGGTCCAGAGGTATTGACTGGTAGCAGCTACAGCCACTTGTGTCACCATTTACCTGTCAGTCAAAGAGGCCACGCCTCTAATAATGCAAACTTTCCAGGCGAGTGCTAAAACCACTCCCCCCATACTGTTGTTATAAAGGGGGAAATTATCGATAGAGACCAGACAAGCTTGTGTATCGAGCTGTAAATATGTTTATTTTTGCTGTAAACCTTTAACATCGGAGTCTGAAGGGGCTGACTCACTGCTGGAGCCTCTGCTGGACGTTGGAAGAACTGCAGCTTTTAGTACTTGGAGGCTGCTGATTAGTTAAAGTCTGTTTGCAGCTGGCACAGTCATGTGCAGTGTTGGTCAAGTTACTTGAAAAAAGTAATCAGTAACTAATTACTGATTACTTCCCCAAAAAGTAATCCCGTTACTTTACTGATTACTTATTTTCAAAAGTAATTAATTACTTAGTTACTTAGTTACTTTTTAAAAACATGATTTACAACCTGAATAGGTGATGAAGCGATAGATATTTCAGCCCAATTCTACTCTTTCTACATAATCCATCACACAAAATGTAATCAAATGGAAAAGTATCTTTTTAAAACTTGTTTTATTAGTTTTAATCTTTTAACTTTATGCATCAAGCAAAAATGTAATTATATGCAACATTCTCTGACTGGAAGAAATTTGTTTAATATTTAAACCTATTTTCTGCACATTCCAGCACATAAAATAAAATATTTTTTTGTGTTTACACTCACTCTTTCAAATAGATGCAAGTAAAACACAGCAGAAAATAAATAAAATCAAAGACTAGCGGTCCTGTTGCTCTATTTTCACCTGTAAAGCAGGAGTGGGGTAGGCGGAGGTTTACCCTGGTGTAGGTGTGCCGCAGCGGTCAGTGGAAGAATCCGCGAGTTTCTCTGTGAATTTCCCATTACGTCGTAGCGCACTCGGTGCTTGCTTGGAAGTTTAGGGGGTTTTTTGCTAATAAGGGGAAGTTTTCTTCCCACGCACAACGGACACTAATGTTTTTGTCACTTTTTACGAAATCAAACTCAAAGTAAGGTCAGTACCTCCACGCTTTAAACGCTGCACGCTCATACTCTCTCCCGCACTCCATATATGATCCCTTGTTGATCTGCACACAGCTGTTGTCACGAACGTCGCACTCGCTTACGTCACTGTCATGAGACATTCTCGCAAAAAAAAGTAATCAGATTACACTAACGCGTGCCCATCTCTGGTCATGTGACTAGCTGTGTGTTTGTTTTCAGGACACGGCCGGTCAGGAGCGTTATCGCACCATCACCACAGCCTACTACCGCGGTGCCATGGGCTTCATTCTCATGTATGACATCACCAACGAGGAATCCTTCAACGCCGTCCAGGACTGGTAGGTGATTGGCTGGAAGCCTGTGATTCAGCTCAGAAAGTGAAACTCAGCTCAGGTCATGTTGCTGTGTGTTTGCAGGGCCACGCAGATTAAGACGTACTCGTGGGATAACGCCCAGGTGATCATGGTGGGCAACAAGTGCGACATGGACGAGGAGAGAGTGGTACCCCCTGAGAAGGGAAAACACCTGGCTGATCAGCTAGGTGAGACTCAGCTCTCTTTCACCTCAGGTGGTACAGACAGCAGAAGAAACGTTTCTTCTTCATTAGTTGAGATGGTTGCAGTGAGAGAAACACTGCCTCAGGGCCCCAAAAAGGAACCTAAAGAGAAAATTATATATATGAGCTTATTTAGTTTAACTATTCAAAGAAAAAGGGATGGCTCATCTCTTCCTTCAGCAGCTCTGTGCTGAGGCTCATGGGACATGTAGTATGTATGATGTAGTAAAAAAGTAGAAAAACCCATAGTGTGATTAAAATACATACACACAATCCCTCCCCTTCCTCATATTATCTAACATTTACCTGCAAACACCTGAGCATGAAGGCAGTGCAGGAGGAGCCTTCAGACTAACAGGGATGGTTTCTGCAAACAGGTGTGTTTTCACCAGGTGAGCCCTGTCTGCCGAAGAACTTTCTTTAAATTATACCTGTTGGAGGAAATCTGATTATAAGTTCATTTTATTTTTGCTTTTTCTTGGTCTGAACATTTAGAAAGTACTCAGTTTAGCTTTAATTTTTCTTTATGCACAAGAACACGAAGAACAAGAATATGAAAGCAGGTAAAAGCTGTGGCTCTCAGCACTGACAGGGCGAGTAGCTTTTTATTCCAGTAAAAGCAGCATTGCACTTTATTGTTGATAGATTTTATTAATGCACCACCCTACGTGAATTCATTTTCACACACCGTGTGCTGACTGCAGAACAAAGAAATGAATAACTGTGATTCAGAGCGCCAGCATTGATTTTTCCTTTGTTTGATGGTGTTTAGCCTGAAAATTATTATTAATTAAAGCACACTCATGAAAACACCTTCAAACTTTTTCGGCCTAATTTTACATATGATCAATAATGAACATGCAGAAAAATAGAAATAAACATTATCATGTCTGTACTTTACTGACATCAGACTTCACTCCCAATGTTTTTAGACGAGCTCAGGTGTTATTCAGGGCCCTCTGTTCAGGTCACGTGTATTCAAAGCTGCTCTGAGGTCAGTCCATCAGAGAGCTGTGCTGACACTGAGCCGAAAGCCTGAAACACCTTAAACACACAAATATGGGATGAGATGCTTCACTCTTCATGCTTTCTGTCCTAATGCAGATAATTGAGCTGAAACTGAGCCTTGCTGCAGCTCTATTAACTGTTTAACTCACCTTTCATGTAGCCTGAGAAAGAGAGTGAATCAGATTCTCCACATCAGCTAAACGAGCGTCTGTTCAAGTGTCTGCTTCTCACACAGTCTGATTTATTTAAAAAAAATAAAAAATAAAAAAAATAAAACAGAAAATAATTTCCATGACACGGGAAAAACCTACTCGAATAGAAATGAGGAGGACCTCATGTCTGTCTGACAGCTCTTACATGAACCAATGTTCGCTCTCCAAACTTTAAGCTTTATTATATTAAGGATCTCTCTGGTATCAAATATGGAGTGTATTCCCTTTCATTTTTAAAACTAGAGCAGACATTGACACGTAGCTGAATGGCAACAGTTTTCATAAAGCAAACAGACAATATAAACAGCATCTATCTTACTAAAGCTAGAAGTGAAAATACTCAGCTTAAAAGAAGAAAACTCTTCTGGTTCTTTTCCAGTAAGCGCCTCCATCTCATTCTCAGGGTTTTTTGTCTTTCCTCTTGCATTAATATTCAAGAATGTACTTAGTAAAAACATATATCTAAATGATCTTTCATATATAGCCCTTTTCTACTCTTGCAGAGCACTCAAAGCTATGTGCTTAAATTGTCAAAATCCGGTTGTAGGAACTCAGGCGTAGAGCGTTTAGACGCCTCCAAAAGACAGTTTATTTACAGCACCAGTGCACAGTATATACAGTGAGGGGAATCCAAAACTCCAGGGAATCACAGGGTAGCTCTCTCACACTCACACACGGCAGGGAGGTCACAGGTCCGGGGAGGAAGGTCTGAAGCAGAAGAGAAGGGAAGTCACAAACTAATCACGAATCTCAAATTACTAAGCACGAGTTCGCAGGAGCTGCAAGAAACACTAACGTCAGCAGTACAATCATCCAGCGACGAGAGGATCTGTGTTCCAGCCTCAAATAGTGCTCCCGGTGATGACAGGTGATTGTTGTCAGGTGTGTGGGCCAAGGGCGGGAGCCCACAGTGAGCCCCGCCCAGGCAGAGAGGGAGAGAGAGAGAGAGAGAGAGAACCAAAACGGCAAATGTAGCCTTGTGGGGCCGGCCGGGCAGGCACGGAGACCATGACATAAATGTTTTCTATTGAACAGTCAAACTCAGGTTGATGCATCAGACAGCACGATGAGGTTAGTGTCTTGCCCAAGATGCCAACTGGAGCAGTCAGGAATCAAGCCACCAACCTTCTGATTAGTAGATGACCTGCTTTACCTCCTGAGCTACAGCCACCCCATCTGAGCAATACAATGCATTGTCATCAGCATGGAAAGGAAAGGAGATTTTATGTTTCATTCATTAAATTAAAGAAATAAACCCATGAGAAAGTTGTTTTCCTGCATAAATTGGAAGGTGGAGGTGTTGGAAAGGGTCCAAATCCAGAACACCAAGGAAGGTAGTGGAAAGAAAGCCTTTATTTGTTGGAATATCCAAAATTTTGCAATCCAAAGAAAACCCATGGAGATGCAGGGCAGCACAACACAAAGCACAGATAAAAACCTAATCTGACAAGAACACAGAGGGAGACAGGACTGTTTACACACACTAGACGAAGGGGGAAATAAGCCACAGTTAAACATATTCAAGACAATCAACAGACAGGAAGTAAAACCCAACAGAACCAGAAACACAGAAATAATGAAACACTACTGAAAGTGTGAACTGAAACTAAGTACGACCTAAAAACTAAAACAAATATCCATGAAAACACATCTGCATTACCACAAACTAACTTCAAAATGCTATAATAATAAAATCCAACAGAAAATTCAGAGAATTCAGACATGTAAAACACTAGGACAATGTCATTTCCACTGAGTTTAAAAGCACTTTGTTTATGAGCTATACAACATGGCATCATCAGCATAAAGGAGCATTTCGTTTATCACTAGTCTAATGTGATCCACTGAGTCCGACGCCTCTAAATGTTGCTGCAGTGGTTTTTAAGTAAAGCTCTTCTGCTTCCTCCTGCAGGCTTCGAGTACTACGAGGCAAGCGCCAAAGAGAACATCAATGTGCGGCAGGTGTTCGAGCGCTTGGTGGACATCATCTGTGTGAAGATGTCAGAGCGTGTGGACGTAGAGGCGCCGGCAGCTCCTGGTTCCAAGACCACCAGACTGACCGACAAACCTGCCCAGCTACCTCAGAAGTGCTGCTGATCGTCTGTCATACCCCAAGCTCTCAAAATAAGAAAAAGAAAAAAAATATATAGATTATCTATTGTAACATTCCTCTGCACACTCGCTCTGCTTCATGTTTGTGAGCGGCCATCCATTACTACGCCTTCTCCAGGCCCTGCTAACTAACATCTATATAACCACTTTTACCATCCCAAGTGTCCGTGGGAGGCCCTTTAGCTGTCAGCGTACTCCATGCTAATGCGGATTTGGCGTGCTTGAAAAGGTTATTGTGCTGCTGGTGGTGATATCACTGTGACCAGTGACTGTTTTCAAAGATTTTTCTCTTATGCAGAAACAAAAAAAAGAACAAAGCCTTGATTATACTAGAAAGTGACACAGTTACAGACAGGCTGAAAAAGTGACATCAGGTACTTCCGGTTCGTTCTCTTAGCTGTCGCATGGATAATTAGCATCTGATGATGAGCGTGCACGGTTTATTTCATAGTTAACTGTGAAATGCTGACATTCATGTGTGTGAAGTAGAGGCCTTTTACTGTGGAGTGAGGAGTCAGAGGTCAGGACTGTGAGGAAGACTTTTGGTAAGTGGGGGGAATTTGTGAGTCAGGGGTGGAGAGTGGACTGTTTCCGCCAAGAAACAAATGCACTGAAGGAGTTTCCAACAGGATGATTAGATCTGCGCATTTTCTGTGCTGGTGTGACTTCAAGGTGGAAACAATTAATGTCTAAAAAGCTGCACAGCTGGTAACCACAGACTCAACTTCTTGCAAGCATGAAAGTCGAATCCAACAGAAGCTGATCCAGAATGCTGCACAGATGTGAAACATCCAGCAGGAAACCACTGCAGGTCAGAGTGACAATAGGATCCATCCAGTCCAGCTGCTGCAGAGACCAAACTGCAGATGATTGTTAACACTAGTAAAAGGCTTTTTTCTGCAAGCCGTTGCGTGCCACTCTGTAGTGCAGACTTCTTCACAGAGAAATAACCACTACAAAGTCGGTGGCTCTTGAGTTAAACTTTCCTTAACTTAAAGGTGAGCGGTTAAAGCAACTACCAGTGGAGTGAAGGACACCTCTGACTGACATATCAGGGGGTGGTAAATACATTAGAGGGCTACCTAAGCAACCACAGCCAGGAACAGCCATAATCCAGCTGCCATTAAAATGATGCAAGATGAGTGAATCACTTCCTGTGTGGACACCCCTTAAGAAGTGTGCTTCATTCGCATGCATCACAAAGATGCCGTCCGGCTTCTCTTTGTTACCCTGAAGATGCTCTCTTTGATTGCAGCACTGTGATGTTGACCGGGACACCGAGGGTGAATCTTCTTACTCTGCCTGAAATTAGACGCGATGATTGACACCTGCTTGCTCCGTGCTGTAATGACACGTGTAGTGAGGCAGCAGGCCTCTAACTGAGTAACACTGCGGGTCAAGTTTAGTGTCTCAAACACGCCAAATGCCCATTTAGTTGGAGTGTGATGTCAGCAGGGTCACAGGTCAGCACAGCACTGCCTTTCCTCTCAAAGTGTAGCACAACGCCACAGCTGCTCATGTGTTTACAGTCCTCCTCTGAGTCATCACTCATGCTGCTTCTCTACAGCTAGCATTAGTTCCTCTGATATAACATGCCTATAGCCCACAAACTCTTACTGGCCTTACTCAGACAGACGCTTTAAGGCTGCACCACCAACGCACAACTCTGACAGGGCTGCAGTCCAGTCGCTCGGGTCAGAGGAGCCGGGTCAGAGGTGAAGAGACAGCACCCCCTGGTGGTTGAACAGGGTCTTAAGATAACTACAGAAACTTCAATGAGAAGGAAAACACTTGAAATGGTGTTAAAACAAAGTATTACTGAGACAACACATAAGTTTACATCCAAGAAAAAACCTCCATTGGGAGTTCTGATCTGTAAAACCTCAGATTAAATCATTACTTTCAAGAGTCATATCGGATGAACAGCTGTGAGTATTGATGACACCTGTAACCAGGTGTGAAATGAAGCTGAAACTGCATTGTGATTTCATGGATGTTTGTATGATGATTTCAGTCTTGGTTTCAGTGATGCTAAATCCCAGAGGTGAAGATATTTTCTCTGCTCACTCTGTGAAAACCAAACTGAGATACACAGATGCTCTTTGAGCATGTGCAAACCATCCACTAAAAAAAAAACTCTGAACTCTGACTCAAATTGTCTGCATCGGGAAGATTATTAACAACAAACAGAACAAATATAAGTCTGATGTGAGCGTGTGCAGGAGCACAAACAATCCCTGTTTGTTATCTCTGTCCTCTCTAATCTGCAGCCTCCAACAGCTGCCCTCAGTTTGATGTTCTGCAGGACTTAACGTGATGCTGCTTGACTTTCAGCTCTCTTTGCATGTCCTTCATAGCTTATACAACCTTCCTGTTTCTGTCTGATGAAGCAGTCCTTCAGATCTTCACTGTTCCAGCCTTCAGTCAGTGTTTCTTCTCATTGACAGGAAGCCCCAAAACGTCTGCCCCTGTACCAGCTGTTTCCATTGTGTTGTGAAGGTGTGGAAGGATTTCTGAATGGACCAATGGGGTCCAAGACTTCCAAGGAATCAGAGGCCTCAGAGCCATTTTTATTTCTAAAGCCCGGTGTGGGTGTGGCTGCTGAAGCCTGAGTTCAGGTGCATTTTGCTGTAATGTAAGGCTGCGCTCAGAAGTGAGATGCAGAGTTCCTGCCTTCACAGAGCCGTGAGATTCTTTAAATACACGGCAGAGAATCAGTGATGACCCCGAATGAGATATGCTTTAAACTGAAACGCTGTCCTTCCTGTGGGACCGAAGCTCTGGATTCACCTCTCTGACCTCTGAGCTTTAATTACAGAGAAACAGAGCACGAGTTAAGAAGACTGGAGTTATTTAAAGCCACTGAGACCTGACGACACAACCCAGAGCTGCAGCAGTCAAACCTTCCAGCACCAACATACAGTCTTTCTGGTTCAGGATCAAGCCAGCGGACTCACATTAATGGAAGCTGCAAACAGCAACAGGAACTCCAAAGTAACCGACATGCAGGAGGTTTGTTTCTGAGGTTAACTGACGACTATCTGACCGTCATAGCTGAATGATCATCCACTCCCTTTGGTGGTGTGAGCGTGCTCATAAGGGCTTAGTTCACATACAAATTCTGTTCCAGACAAATGGAGACATGCTCGGAGCTCTTTTGGTGTTATTATGAAACAATCTGAGATGGAAAATGAGAGTGGAAAGAGTCGTGTTTGCATTCACACTAATCATCAACCTTCAGGTGTGAAGTGAACCTGTTTGAATTGCACTTTGCTAGAAGCTGAGTCAGAGTTCACGAGTCATAGAAGAGTAAAAAGCATCCAGGGTCTTGCCTCTGGCCAGTGCTGGAGTGCGTGCTCGCTGTAGTTTTGGTTTGACTTCCATGTCTGCTTTTTTCCAAAATCACAGAAGACCAAAGACAGGAAAGGAGATCAGGATCAGAGCCCCTGGCCCGGGCCACACTGAGCGCTGCAGCCCTGCTTCATGGTGGCAATCAGCTTTTGCACCGGCGACCGTGCCGCCAAGGCCACACGGAGACTGATTTTTAGTCACGCACACACGTGAGTGGAACTGATGAGTGAGGAGAGCACGTCTCTCGCCCCCTTTAGCAGGTGTAGTCGCACAGCCGCCGTGTTTGCAGTGTTTCCTACATGAGTGTGTGTGTGTGCGTGTGTGTTCGTGTTGAGTATCATGATATTTATCGCGTGTTCAGTTGTACGGGTTCTTGTGATATTTTGAGATCCAGTGCGTTTGTTCATGGAAGACTTGAAGAAACATTTGTTCTTAAATATTCTGATAAACTTATATCCTGCCAAACTGTTGTATAGCAACCACAGCGCACGTTGGTGTGTAACTCCCTGCCGTGTGTCTTCATATGGATAAGAACTTACAATAACATGGACATCGTCTTCATATGATTATTTTCTAAGTGACTTTGTAAATGATAGAGGTAGATCTGATCCTGGTGTTGAGTTTATTTTTCTGCAGTGTAACCATGGACTAATTCTTAGAGAGTTCCTGTAAACTTGTTGTCTTATGGTTTGCTCCTGTTCGGGGAGAAGCACAAAGTGATTGTACAAAATATTGTGAATGTTTGTATATTATAGATCAGATTTAGTATAATAAAAATCACAATCTTTAATCAGAATGCGTGTCGCTTTTCTTTGGTAGAATACATACGTACGCAGTCGTCACCAGAGAATCTTTTAAAAATTACATAAATCTGCAAACAGTTCTGAAAGTTGTGTCGAACCTCTGTGCGATTTGCTCCACAGGGGTCTGCTGTATCACTCCTGTTCACTTCATAATCCTCTCATGGGTCACAACACCTACAGAAGAACTCTGGTGGTTCTGCAGAGGTTGGATATCAGTGATGTCCAGGAGGACTGTACAGAATGTGAATAAAAGCAGAGAGATGGTGGTCAGCTTCAGAACGAAGATTGGGATGGGTGTGAGTGTGTGTTGGAGAAGTATCTGAGTGTTTACATCAACAACAGGCTGAACTGGAGGGATGACATAAGAAGGAGACAAGCAGGCTCTGTTTCCTAGGGAAGCCAAGATCCTTCACTGTGTGTAGCAAAATGATGGACATGTTCTATCAGTCAATGAGTTCTGCTGGAGAAGCAGCGTATTCAAGCTGACATAGGGCGAGAGGCAGGGTATACGCTAGACAGCTCACCAGCCTGTGGCAGGTCTAACAGAGAGACAGAAAACCATTCAAGTCTAATTATTAATCATCAACTTCATACTATGGGGACAAAGCTAGAGTACCCGGACATGACATGTAACCACACAGAACAACCTCAGAAACATCATGGATTTGAACCCATGACCTTCTTGCTGTGAAGCAGCAGTAATAACCACCACACGTGGTAGTTATTATCTGCATTATTGTTTTGGCTGCTGTAACAGCTTAACTGTGGATTTTCGCAGGGTTAAAAAAATCAAATCAAATCAAAATACAGTCAGCCCAAACGATGCAACTTTTTACTTAAGAAAACAAACGTTTCTTTATTTTAATGACAACAATAACCGAGACTGTGACAAACAGGAGGCATCTATAATTTATTAATTATTATATTACTACCGGTACCCCCTTCCCCAGCATGTTTCTCGCACAAGCTTTACAGCTCGATTAGTGGCAACCAATCAGACGGCCAGTCTTCTGTGATTAACGTGACCTCAGCCAATCAGAGGCCTTGTTTTGACCAGCTGGGTAGTACCGGGCTACTTCTCTTAAACTTCGGCGGCTTCAAAGACGAAGGTGAGTGTTTTATTCCTCCTGGCAGGTAAAAACGGCTCCTATCGTCCGTATGTTGGAGTCCAAGTGAAGCTGCTCCCAGCTGACGGACACACAGCCTCCACCTACCCAGCCCGGGAGGCTGGCTGACGCTACTTCCGAGTATCTGGAGTAGCTAGCAGTCCGCTAACCGCTAGGATTAAAGTATATTGAATTTATTAGCTGTGAAACGAGCCGGCAGAGCCTCCACCTGAAGCTCACGGAGCTCGGTGTGTTTGCGGAGACGCCGTCGGCGGTTATATGGAGTTTGCTGCCTCGGTCAACCCGTTAGTGCCTCCGCTAGTTTCATAACGGGGAAGCTAGCAGTTAAATAAACTGGATTTCACATGAGCTTCCGCTCAATTTAAATCCTTGTTAACGTTCAACGTTGTTCTCGCGAGAGACGATGCCGAGTCACCAAAATTCCCTCATAAAATCTGATATTTACCTTTTACCGAAAACCCTTACTTGCTGAAATAAAACCCGAGGTACTTTTCAAAGCAGGAGGCGTTGTTCTTCAATTCGGCATTCATTTAATCTATATATAGTATTTTATTATTGGCTACTTGATGCTGATTCTTTCTGTAAATTAGGAGTTTAGTTTTATGTATGAAGTGATTCCAATAACATCCATGATTAAATAAAATCTGCACAGTCTGGATTCATGTTTCTCCCACGCTGTCCTAAAGAAAAGTGACCAGTTTATGCCGATTATCACAGTCAGCGCTGATACATTTATTTCCAGTGAATTAGTCATTGATAACTTGTTAATGTGTGTGTCTCACTGTAGAGGACTCTCCAAAATGCCTCAGACCAGCAAATCGAGTGGTGCTGGTGCTGCCAGTCCAGCATCTGCGCCAGACCAAGGTGAGCCTCCGCCCCCAGAGGGCGCCAGGGCTCAGGTGGCTGCTGGAGACGGGGAGGAAAGAGCCACTGTAGACGACCAGGGAGACCCAGAGATCGTCAAATCACCTAGTGACCCAAAGAGATACAGGTGAGTGACACAAGCATTTATTCAACCCATGATGAGGGTTCAAATGCAACCAGAAAACTGCTGAGTCCAACTGACAGTTTAACCCCACAGACCTCCATTTCACATTTCAGGTGTTTGCTTCACAAGTGAACTCCTACCTGTGATTGGTTGAAACAAAAGTGTTCCAGCCAGTGAACTGTTAGAAATACTTTGTTTTGCCCCCCCCCCCGGCTGTTATTTTTGTAAGGTCCTCCTGAAGGTTCATTTTATTTTTCATTTCAGAAAATTAGTGTTCGTTTCTGCATTTCTTTCAGGCTTTGCACTTTGTTTCTCTCAGTTTAGTCTGACGCCTCTCTGACAGGAACGTCAGTGTTTAAAGTTGTTACCTGAGATCCAGGTGTGACGTTACTTGAGCGTTCACTGTATAAACTCTTCTGGTCTCCTGCAGATACATCGAGCTGAGCAACGGCCTCCGAGCACTCCTCATTTCCGACTTCAGTGGGGCCGACGGGGAGGGAGGCGATGGAGAGTCGGCAGAGCAGGAGGAAGAGCAGGAAGAGGAGGAGGGCGGGGAAGAAGATGAAGGGGACTCAGGTGAGGGCTCAGAGGAGGAAGAAGGGGACAGAGCAGAGGAAGAGCAGGACAGCGACTTTGAAGAGCTGGAAGAGGAGAACCCAGTGAAGAAGAAGAAGAGCTCTGAGAAGCAGGTGGGTGTGTGGAGGATGGGTGATGAAGGCTCATCCTCTTCCTTGGAGTGTCTCTGAACAAAAACAGTTTAACTACGTCAGCTCTCTGTGACAGATCCACCGGCAGTGACCCTTATGTGTTTTCAGGCTGCAGCAGCTCTGTGCATTGGTGTGGGGAGTTTCAGTGACCCTGATGAGCTGCCCGGCCTCGCACACTTCCTGGAGCACAGTGAGTGTGAACGTCATCGCAAACATCACCTGAGCTTGTCTTACAAACGATCATCCATGGTTTTAATTAGAATAAAGCTTTATTAATGAGATGTTAAAGTCAATGAACAGTCATCATCAGGTGTCTGTTTCCAGCGTCAAACCTACCCACCCAAATCTACCCACTCTCACGGTGTGCTCACACCAAACACGAAGCAATCGTACACCTCGCCTCACTCACATGAATACAGCTGCGTTGGCCCTCACAGCCAACGAGACAAGGAGGAGTCCAGCCAACAGCTGGAATCAAATTAAACATCCATGTTTTCAGAAGGGATTGCAAAGTCCTCACTTTCCTCCACGTGCTTTCATTGTTGAATCGTGCAGCTCCAGCTATCCCTTAAACAGTGTCACTAAACCCCGCCTCACCGCCTCAGGAGAATCCTGATGATGCAGCACAAAGAGACTTTATTTCAGAAGCTAAAATGCAAATGCAAACTTGCCTCTGTTAGCAGTACCTGTTGTAAGTTATGAGTAAATAACATGAATTTACTGAAATCACTGGAGAAACTTTAATATTAAAATGCTGCCAAAATATTAGAAACATGCTTTTTTTCACTTGTATGAGTACTGCTGGAAAAAGAAGCTGTAAACGTGGTCAGTTCAGCCTGTGTGGCTTCGATCCGAGCCTCCAAAAGCTCATCAGGAAGTCCTCACTATGAGAAATGTTTAAAAAGCTAAAGACTTCCTGCTGCAAAGGGAACATCTGGGTGCACAAATCAGCACAGTCTGACTCTTACAGGTTGTTCTGACGCGTGGTGACGCGGCACTGACTTTTTAAGTGGTATTTCCCACGTAGCTGCTTTCACCAGCAGCCTGAAATAATCCAGACATCACCGTGAGGAGCCTCAAACATCTGAACGTTAACACGTTAACCTGCTGGACCTACAGACGATTACGTAGTTTAAACCCAGGATTGGGTCACAAGTTGCCAGGAGCTGCTGGCAACTTGTGATTGGCCAGCAGAGACATGCTCTGACCGCTCTGTGCTTCTTCCTCCTCCTCCCCCTCAGTGGTGTTCATGGGCAGTGAGAAATACCCGGCGGAGAACGGCTTCGACGCCTTCCTGAAGAAGCACGGCGGCAGTGACAACGCCTCCACAGACTGCGAGCGGACCATCTTTCAGTTCGATGTGCAGAGGAAGCATTTCAGAGATGCGCTCGACAGGTGAGCTCCTCGGGTTTCCTGTTACCTGCTGTTCGTGGGATCCGCTGTGAGCTTTCAGGCGTGTGAAGGCAGCGCCCTCGCTGCGAGCGGACGGAAGCTCTTTGGGCCATCTGGACCTCTGATGGGAGGTCAGCTGTTCACTGCAGACGCTGTGAGGTAACATTGTCCTGAGGCTGTTTTTAGAGCAGCGGGCAGACGGACGGCTGAGGACACGAGCGATCTGGAGGATGGAGAAGCTGTTATACCCACTGTTTCCCGACATGTATTTGTGGTTCAGAAATATCAGAAACTGTTAAAAAGTTCCCACATTCTGCTTTCTCTGTGTGTACACTGCCAAAAACAGCTCTATTTGAAATAAGCCAAATACTCTTAAATCTGACAAAATTGTGTTGTTTTGAGAAGAAAAATCTGCCAGCAGCGGTTGCTCAAATCCAGGCCGGCCGCTCTCAGCTGTCAAATACAGTTCTTAAATTGAAAAGTTGTCTCGTTCTTCCAGAATAAGATTATTTTTCTTATTTAAAGAGTACGGTTAGATTAATTTGCTAATTTTAAGGAGCAACATTTGCTTTCCCCATTGGCAGATTTTTTTTTTTTGTCAAAACAAAACAATTTTGTCAGATTTAAGAATATTTGGCTTATTTCAAGCAAAGCTGTGTTTGCAGTGTACCCTGTAACTGGTAAATAAAGCTGGAAATGAGCTGAAATATCTTATTGAGAAAAAGCTAGACATTTTTTTCTAGATTGAGCTTAATGTTCTTATGCAAAACTTGCTTGTT